CCGAACACACACGTAAAAATTTCTCAGTTATAAAATAGAACTACCGGAATCACAATGTGTTACCTAATGATTCAACTTTTAAATAAANACGTTTTGCAAATATTTAATACTGCTGCTAAATATTAACAAAATGTACGATATTCGTTAAATATATAGAAAATATAGGACAAATATTTTGTGCTACTAGGCTGAGGTCACTATTAAACGTGTTTTTCTCGGAGCTGCATTTTTCAAACTGACAGGTTAGGATAACTCAAAAACTAATTAACCAATCAACTTTGCACAAAGTCCATTCAATTCTTTATGCATTCCTCCAAGGAATAAATCTCTAATACAAATGATAGTATTTATTTATAACATTTTTAGCGGCAATTTGATGCCGGTATTTTTTTCTGAAATGCGTTTATTTTTATTCTAAATGCCAGAAGTTTGTAAATTTTCAAAATAATCTGGTTGAAATATGTTCAAACCCAGCATAAACTATCCAAGTTTAAAAATTTTTCACTTTTGGTATTCCAATGACTGTGACAGTCGCTGTACTGCGAGAAGTGGCTGAGATAATTATATACTCTTTTGGTGATACATAGAGAAAATTAAAAGAAAAAAAATCATATTAAACTTTAAGGAAGCCTCTTCATATAAAAAACTGATTGGAATATCGTCAATAGTTTTCTTATAAAAAATTAATGAAAACTGATATTTTTTAGTCTGTTACACGAGAATCTCCTCTTAATGAAGATTCTGCGAGTTTCCGTCACTTCCGCCTCTAAGAGCTCTCAGATTTAGGTATGATTTAGAAAACTGTTCCATGTATGTACTTTGTATCATGGTATTATTGCAATACCGATATACATATAAGGTCACAATTATATGAATTTATTTTGTTTAAATACACTTATTCGAATTAAGTGAAGGCAGATGCGGTACGTGTCGATTCGACTAAGGTACCTCAGGGTAATAAGGCCCACGTAGGTAACAAGGCCCATGTTTATTTTTCACTGTAGAATAAAAATACTAAGTTTATGGCTTCCTCTGCCAGTCGGTACCACAATCAAGAGTCCTTTGTGTGTATTGTCGAGGCTGTGGACGAATCGATAATAAGCTATGATTGATGCGCAATATTGCCGAATGAAATTTATCAAATTTGGTTGCAGCGTTCAAACTTCTTGTCGCAACGTTTTGTAAAATATTGTTCTTTCTAGTACGTACATAGTACCTTATGATTTTCTCTACATACTCTCATATTAATTTTATTGAAGAGTTAAAGCTGCTTCGGAAATCATTACCTAAACATGTAAATTGTACCATACGGATAATAAGGCCAATCGTAGGGTAACAGCGAAACTAAAAGTCTTTTCCAAAAAAGACCTTTGTTATGTGATATTTGACTAGTTATAGTAAATACAACATCATTACAAAAACTGAGCGAAACACATAAAAGAAATGAAACCTAGCACCTCAAAGAAGGCAGAGAACTGGTACCGCCGCCTTTACCAAAACAATAGGGTTGCTGATATGCAGCAATGTGCCCTGTGGAAGAAATAGCTTCGTAAAGAATAGTTGAGGATAACGTTCGAGGATGTTGATGACATAATTTGCCCTGACTGTGCAAATGAATGTGCAGAATAGATTGTATTTTACAACCGATGCCCATAGACCTTATAAACCACCCGTGCGGGTAACAAAACCCAGAAGCATCTTACGACAATTTATTCAATTACGTTTCTGTTTAGAATTGTATTATATTTTTATAATTTGTGACTAAAATAAACATTGTTCACGTACTCCTTCCTCATTTCCTCTTCCCTAAATACTTTATATTTTAGCATTTTACAGGCCTTTTAAATTATGATACGCCTTATTACCCTAAAGTACCTTAATACAACCGATGAAGAATATAACTTTCGCTGATTTAATTATAGTTGTTCAAGTGACAAAATTATCTTAATAATTTGGCGCCTCGTTACACAACATGTATACTCCTTTTTTTTACAGAATCTTTTCAGTATTTACGTTGTCACGATAAAGGTAAATCAGCGAAAAAAATGATTTTGCGTATTAGATTATCTTCCCTTATATGGAAAGATTCAAGTTTTAACTATTAAGAGAATGACCGTTGAGAATTTCATGCACCGTTAGAATATGCACTGTATTAAAAAATAAACGAGAGGTCTAACTTAATCGAAGAACTTTGAGAAAGGTACTGCCCGTCAAATGTTACGAGTATCTCGGTTACACTCGCGGTGCTTTTAATTATGTCCTCGTAAATCCTTTGTACCTTTGACTAGTCTTTGTGACTTCTTTGGCAGCGAACGATCATCGGTCGTTAATAATCATCGAATTAATACTTGATGCCTTGCGTATAAAATTAGCGTGTAATTGTATATTTCAATCCCAAGATTATGTAAATGTAATATCTATATATTTATTATTGTAAGATTACGAAATTACTATACTGCAATTGTATTATTCTGCTCGTAGGGAAATAAAAATATTGCTCTAGGATCGAATAGAAAGCATTCTTTTCTTTTACAGGTCCTTTCATGTTGGGTGTTCCGGAATAAATGCCCCAATTTAAATATAAAATCATTGGGAACGTTTAGGAGACTAACATACTACATGTAATTGAGTATTTCTAGTGGAATTCGTTGGTTTTTTCTTCTTTCAGAAAAAATTACAAACGCTATTAAATCAGGAAGTTACTATTTCTCATTTGCCTACACAGAAAAAAATAATTTGGTAACAATTACTATACCGACATGGTTAAAATACTGTGGGAAGTAAAACCACACAAATGATGATATTTACCACATGGAATGGGAACTGTAACCATGCAAATAGGTACTGTATCCATGGCGGTGCGCCTAAAAGGTGCAGGAGTGATCACCATTTGATATGGTAATATTAACTACATGAAGATGTTAGAATACGCACAGGAAAATGGAAGGTTTATCTGGGAGCTGTAGCTACATATCATCGTAAGGTTTTACCCATTGCAAGGTTATTCTAAACTTGCCTATGTGATTGCAGAAACAATGATTTGGCTCCATTAGTTTCGACAGCGCCGCCAGGTGGCGAAACTTCTCGCAGGCGATGCAGACTGCTCGTGTACATATTATAACGATAGAACTCGAGGGCGCGAGTTATGTGGCTACCTCGCGCGCCGCGGTCCACGTTCGGGTGTCTTCCCGCAACAGTGGCCCGCTCGGAGCATTTGAATATCCGAGGGGTAATGCCTGGGTGGAGTAAGATATTCTCAGGTTTTGGTAACAATAATAAAGTTTATTAGACGTACATCGGTTGCTTCAGGTCTGAAAGTAAAACATTGGGAGCAGACCGGATACAAACGGGATCGTACTTAATACTAATTGTTTACAATATGAATTATATGTTAGTTGCGGTAATGATTCAAACCCTATTGTTCGAATTCCTGGGTCGGAGAGGTGACACGATATACAAGTTCGGTTCGTGACGCCTCTTGTCGGAATTATCTTCGGAGATGCGAATTCGCGCCTATAGTGATTGGAGGTCTCGTCCTGCGAATCAGGTTTGAGAATCTAGGCGGGTTTCTTACCTTCCTACAACTCTGACTTGGTCTATTTTCCCGGGCCTCTTATAGTGCCCGGGAGGCTTGCACGCTTGCGAGAGAGCGCGGGCCGTGGGTTGTCGCGCTTGCGGGAAACGGTCGCCGGGCTGCGCGGCCGGCCGTAGTGCTATACGAGTCGTGTGGCTCGGCATCAGGCGCCTTGGTCCGAGACACACAGCTCGTTACAATATAAGACCCGTTACTATCCTTTACGTTTAAGATACAATGAGCCTACCCTTTACCGAAGAAGAGGGAAAAGGAAAGTCATCGTCAAGAATCCACATTTTCGAACAATTATTGATATTTTACTCCTTGAGAAAGAAATGTATGAGAACACGGACAGAAACATAAGTACAGCGTTCGTAATCATAATAATTGATTTTTTTATGTCGACGGTAAATTTTTTAATGAATATTCACAACTATGCACAATGGTAGAACAACTCGTTCCTTGTAGTTACCTTGACTAAATGGTGAAGTAACCCTTACTATGTTGTTTTTACTATGTTATGCTGGTTAATGCAACTTCCTCTCAAGGTTGTCCCGTATCTTGCCTTGCAATAGGGTTACGATTACCACAACTGTGATTTTCTTGGCCATTCTCTTTTTTCCGTGTAGTGCAGAAAATGTTGAAAATGTTGACTTCTTGCAGTAATGCAAGCATTTCACCTAGCTATGGCAGTCCATAATACAGTGCGTTGGACCTTGTCTGGTGATATTTTGTGCACCACAACAATGATTCGGGCTTTGAACTGCACTATTCTGTTTGGGAATCAGCGCGTGTACTTGTATGCTACCAATGTATTATTACCTACCATTAAAAACCCCTTAGATGAATGCCATGTAATTTCTTTTGAAAAGAAGCAAAATCGAGCAAATGCCTACAAGACTTTTTCCTCTCACTTTATCAATCTGCAATATGTTATCTAGTTTTGACATTTAAGTTCGGAACACCCTGTATATTTAACCCTTTGCGGACGAATGTCTGCAGATAGCAACCCAAAAGCCTTTATAGTGGAAAAGTGTCATCCGCAAAGGGTTGAAAACGCCCTCATCATAGGACAATTACAAACAGCAGGTATAAAAAAATCAATTCCTCATTACTTTAACGGAGTAGAATTGAATTAAAATTTGTAGTAATTTCTTAGTCTAGTTTTCTAAATTTTTGAAGCCATATAATTAAAAATCGTTTACCGACGCCGTCCTGTAATGCTCTGAAGTTGAAATTTGTTTTTGCCTTGCCTTGAATTATTAAGCTGAAATAGTATGAAATCGAATAAATTACTTAATTTAACAGCATGTTTAAAGTAGGAAGTAAAGTAAAATAGAATACCTTGATAACTTCATCTATTTGACAACAATTTTGGCATACAATTTTACTTAACACTTAATGCGTTTACAAAGAAAAGATAATCACAGAAAACAATTTTCACAACGTCTAGAAAACAGATACTATAAGATTATTTAATGTCGCAAAGTAGAGCCGCTCCTCGTATGATCCAAAGTTCTGGGGGCTTCGATGTTGGCAACCAAAGGGATGTAATGAGAAGAATGTACGTTCGTTTAGGTTTTTTGTAGACAGGGCACTAAAAACCAAACCGTTTCTTATCATTAAACATACATTTTAACGTCATTCGTTTCTCTTTGTTATATATCTAGTAGAGAGAAACAGAATCATCTCCTCCCTCGTAGCACAACATATTTATCTTATATTATCTATATATTTAACGAATATCGTATATTTTGTAAATATTTAACAGACATTTGAAATATTTGCAAAACATTTACTATAGAATATTATTTTTATAATATTTGTATAATATTAGCTTCATATTTTTCCGTAATATTGTTTCTTACAAAAACACAGAAACATTTCATTCCATTTTAATATAAGTGTTTTTAAATACCATCTGCCGAATACATTTTTAACGATTTATAAATATTTAAAATCGAAATCACACGTTTTGCTCCCATAATAAAACAGCAAAACGAATATGTTGCACAAATTTTTCGTGCTTTTTAATATCAAATGAAGTATCCGATAATAATCATAAAGTAGAAAATCTATCTTTATTGTATGTTTNGGAGTGAAAATTTAATTGACCTGGAAATCACAGATGGCGCGGGGGTACCACTGTAGTCTATGTTTATAAAATAAAAAATATAATTTCGACACGTTTCTAAATTATTGAAACTAAATATGTCATTGAGACTTTCGACAAACATTTTGGATATCTTCAAATGAAATCTACAAGACATCTTAAAAAATCTGTCGCTTGAGATATTTAGCAAAGATTACGAAACAATATTTAGGAAATATTATATGCTACCAGGGCTGTGCAGAAAGTAATATAAAGAAATAACAAAGCATAGCATTGCAGTGTAAAGTTAATCAAATCCAATACAACGAAAGCAGAAGATTAATACACGTGTTTATATACGTACCTCATACAGTTTAAGATTCTTCGCCTGTAGGCCATATTTTGCATATATATGTATGACCGGCATCATTACGTATAATACTTTATTTGCAGATTCACAAAGCCTATTGTTCCTTTTATCCCATCCAGCGCCTTCGAGATAAAGTCCGTACACGAATACGCCCTCCTTGAATAACCAAGTATTTAATTTTATTTAAGTACCTCCATCGCGCATATTTCACTAATAGACGAGACATCACGATTCGAAAAAATGAAAATGATTATAATTGTTATACTAAAAGCACAAGCGTTTGAATAACAAAATAAGAGAAGGAGAGGGAATCACGATCCAGCCTCCGTTCTTACTTAAGGTGAAGTGAAACACGTCGAGGAACTTGATCATCGTTGATAAAGAAGATTTTTCTAAATGCCTACGTTGCCGACGTTCGTTTTTATATCGACAGCTGGGTCGAATTATATTGGGTATTGTACCAAATGGCATATTCCACCTGTCGTTTTCGTACAATAATTATAAAGAAATCGAAGTAACCCTCCAGAAATCCTCTGGATTCATGCCTTCTGGGGCCCTAATTGACTGCGGAGGGACCCCCTGCGCCATCTGTGATTTCCAGGTCAATTAAATTTTCACTTCGAGACTTCGTATTACCATCGTTTTAGCAAAGAAGTGCATACAACACTTTTTTTGCCTTTATCCTGTTCAAATGCGAGTTTATCGATTACCAGAGTGTTCTAAATTGTCGTAAAATTGTCCTGACCGTTTCGATTCTCATATCAGAGCCTTCTATAATTGTATATTGATCGAAATATGAGAGCTCGACGCCATTTTGGTTCTGGTCTGGACTGAGTTAAAAAATTTTTTTGAAAAATCCAAATTTTTAATGTGTTAGGACAATTCTTAGACGATCAGGAGTGATGTGTCAAAGTTTCGGACAGTTTGGTCTAATACCCTTAAAAAAAAGTGTTGTATTCAAATCGACTGATTTGAAGGGTGTTTCACTTCACCTTAAGATAGTGAGTGTTTATCTTGAACCAATATATTGGCGTAGACGTAAATACTACTGTATATAGTTAAAAATGAAAGTGAAATTATGATTAAATGTCCGACTATAGTAGTTTTAAGTTGAAGTGAAACCCCCATCAAATCAGTCGATTCGAATGAAACACTTTTTTTAAAGGTATTGGACCAAACTGTCCGAAACTTTGACACATCACTCGTGATCATCTAATTGTAAGAATTGTCCTGACACATTCAAAATTTGGATTTTTGAGACAAAATTTTTAACTTAGTCCAGACCAGAACCAAAATGGCATCGAGCTCTCATGCTTCGATCAATATACAATTATTGAAGTCGCTGATATGAGAAACGAAAGTGTCGAGACAATTTAGAACACACTGATAACCGATGAATTCACATTTAAACAGGATAAAGGCAAAAAAGGTGTCTTTTGCGCTTCAATGCTGAAACGATGGTAATACGAGGTCTCGGAGTGAAAATTTAGTTGACACGGAAATCACAGATGGCGCAGGGTGTCACCCTACAGTCAATTAGGGCCTCAGAAAGCATGAGTCCAAAGGATTTTTAGAGTTTTACTTAGATTTCGTTATAATTAATGTACGAAAATGACAGGTGGGGTATGCCATTCAGTACAATACCCAATATAATTCGACTCAGCTGTCGATATAAATACGAACGTCGGCAACGTACGTATTTAGAAAGATCTTGTTTACCGACGTCGATTAAATTTCTCGACGGGTTTCACTTCACCTTAAGTTACACGATTTACGTACTGTGGGAGGTGTTTTGACTTCGTCTTGGGCGTATCTCGTAACATCATTATGGGCTATCACGTTGTCAAGTGCCCAACCTTTATGAGCTCTTGTAACTTCCTGTTTCATTGCTGTTAAAAAACCTAAAAACAATCATAAGATGTTAGTCTTCAATAAGATATAAACTTTCACTATGTTCTATTGTATTCAGTATTTGGACCGCATTGTCGAAATTCCAACCTTAGTGGGTACACTTGTTTAATTGTATCCCGATTAGCTGTTCATTAACACGTGATCTCTTTCGATATCACTTAAGGTGAAGTGAAACATCCTTCAAATCAGTCGATTCAAATACAACACTTTTTTTTAAGGGTATTAGACCAAACTGCCCGAAACTTTGACACATCGCTCCTGATTATCTAAGAATTGTCCTGACACATTCAAAATTTGGATTTTTCAATAAAATTTTTTTACTTAGTCCAGACCAGAACCAAAATGCCGTCGAGCTCTCATATTTCGATCAATATACAATTATAGAAGGCTCTGATATGAGAATCGAAACGGTCAGGACAATTTTACGACAATTTAGAACACTCTGGTAATCGATAAACTCGCATTTGAACAGGATAAAGGCAAAAAAAGTGTTGTATGCACTTCTTTGCTAAAACGATGGTAATACGAGGTCTCGAAGTGAAAATTTAATTGACCTGGAAATCACAGATGGCGCGGGGGTACCACTGCAGTCAATTAGGGCCCCAGAAGGCATGAATCCAGAGGATTTCTGGAGTTTTACTTCGATTTCTTTATAATTATTGTACGAAAACGACAGGTGGAGTATGCCATTTGGGACAATACACAATATAATTCGGTATAGCTGTCGATATAAAAACGAACGACGGCAACGTAGGCATTTAGAAAAATCTTCTTTATCGACGTTGATCAAGTTCCTCAACGTGTTTCACTTCACCTTAACTTAGATATCGCTCCAGCCAGACAATATTTTGTGATGTTATCCTGTATGGTGAGAATGTGTCGGTCTCCAGACGGAGTTGGTGATAAAGGGCCTACGGTGTCTATTGATATTATCTTGCAGGGTTCCGTGGTTGTGTCCGATATTATCATAGGTTCCCGAGTTTTTATTCGAACCGATTTTTGTTTTTGGCAACTGGAGCAAGATTCGACATATTCCTGGATTTCGCGATGTATGTTTGATCAATAGAATTGTGACCGAATTCAATAAAAGGTTTTCGTGAGTTTTCTTGCAGGGTTCCGTGGTTGTGTCCGATATTATCATAGGTTCCCGGGTTTTTATTCGAACCAATTTTTGTTTTTGGCAACTGGAGCAAGATTCGTCATATTCCTGGATTTCGCGATGTATGTTTGATCAATAGAATTGTGACCGAATTCAATAAAAGGTTTTCGTGATGCGCTTATATCCGCCAGAGAGGCTATCATGATATTCCTGTATAATTTGGTTTCTGATTTTAGTAGGGGGTGTTCCAACCATTCCGCGCACACAGTGATTTTGATCGGGCTGGTTTTGAAAACTGCCAAAAATACTGTTTATTTGGCAAAAGTAACTGATTTCATTGTTTTCGTGCGATCAGTCACCACATGGATACAACTTTCTAAAATAAACTTTTCCAATAAAATGTACGTGGCGCAAGTTTTTTCACACGGAAGATGTTTTTGTAGAGTATCTCATACTTATCGTCAACTGAATCTCCAGAATTTTTCCGCAATTAAAGTAAAGTTATATCAAACAACAATTTTGAGGTACGTGTTACCTTGAGGGTTAAAAAATCCTGTCATCCAGAAAAGAGCAGGGCGCCCAGCAAAAACCCATCGATGAAACTGATTGTTTCTTTCCAGTAACTCTGTGAACCAAAATCCAATGGTCGACGATTCCCACGAACATGATACCCACACTTGTGGTATTCTCGCATCGTACATATTTCCTAAAGTATCCCTTAATTCCTGTAACAATACAGTATATTGGCGTCCAGTAACTTATACATGAATGGATTACATTAATTAATTAAAAAATATCTATCATCTACATTTTTTAATTTGAAAGCCTAGTATCTTTGTAAAAATATATAATTATAATTATTATCATATATTCTGTGCTCATTCTTCTTTCGTATATCATTAAATTGACTAAACGTTACTTTTTAGAACCATTAGGGAGATGATTGTATTATTTTGAATTTATTACAAAAGTACTTTGTGCAAAACTGAATATTCTTTAGTTTTAACCAAGTACCAAAAAAGAGAAATTCCAATTTTCAATAATAAAAGTTGTACTGTAATAAATAAGAAATTAGATTTTATTTTTTACTTTTTTCTATGAGGTAGCTAGTACAGTTATGTAATACGGTAATGCATTACTCTAGGTTTTTACAGAAGTATTGTTCTGACAACTAAACTATTCCTAACTTTTTACTCCATATAATATATAGTATGGATGTAACCATAACAGTAACAGTTATTTTTGTAATAAAAGCTCCAGCTTAGCAACCTGTGGCGGAAACATATTCCGTTTTTTAATAAAAACTATAATATTAAGTGTCAGTAGCATGAAATCACCTCACTCATAATGATCACTCCTTCTATAGCCAAAATCAGGTCCTTTAACATTGACCTTACCAGCTTAAGAATAATCTGCATGCAATCAACCTCCTGCTTTAAGAAAATATTCATCGACTCGGTAGCACCCATTTCCTGTAGTCTGAAACATAAAAGTTCCACGATCTATAGTACTAAGTATTCCATGTATTTAATTCAGTAAAATATTACAAAACAATTATTCTTTATTGCAAATGAAGATTTTGTTATTTAGATGACTAAATACTAAGAGTGAAATTTCTCACCTTCAAAATTCAATACATTTTGAAACATTGAGAATATTTAGAGTGTGTCTACGTGACTAATGATTGTTTTCACCGGAAATCAATTTAACGGGATGAGATCATCCTTGAAAATTATTCGATATTGACTTGTGATTTTATTTATTGTGAACGGTGGAAAGTATGAAGAAAAGGTTTCCAATAAAATAAGGGAGCAAGCGCGGACAGGGACACAGATGTCAATTATCTGTCTTTATTTATGTTGGCCTCAGTACCCTATTTAGATCATAAAGAGATTCCGTCCAATGCACCTCGGTTTGTGAGATATTAGATAAAAAACTTGAGATGATCCATGTGTATTAATTTGGAAACAAGTATTACCGCTGTTAGGTCTAACATATTCATAGTTTATAGTTAAGAGGAAAGGCACTGTGAAATTAATTTTTCTGAATGTCGAACAATAGCATCCATAAGTTTTTGTAACACGTGCATCACATCTGGAAGTCTTCAGGGAAAATATGCTAAAGGATATCTGCACAGTGTCCTAAAAGGTTTCAGAGAGGTGCCGAAACTCTTCATTATCTCTCAATGTCTCAGTTCAATGGAGGTCCAACCGATCCTCGCCCACTTGAGGACTTAAATTATTACAAGCTAGTTGAGACTCATACCATTTCTCCGAATTGCAGGGTTCTATGACAACCAATAGAATTCAAGAAAAGAATAGTTTGACTCCATCTACTTAACCAATAGAATTAAGATAAAACTGTTTTAGTCCGCCTAGCAAACTTAAAATCTTAGGGCATCTGCGATACATTTTTACAATCCAACTGCATAAGTCGAGCCGATCAGACGAGCCACATAGCGCTCTAGCATTAGCATTATATAAGTATTGCAATTGTCATAACTGCACATACATGTTTATATTGCTGACTAGTAATAATAAAATCATTTATTCCTGTATTGTATCAGAACTAGTCGTACAAAATTAATTTGGTGGGAGACCGCGAAGAAGGAGACGATTCGATAACGCCGAAACCCTAAGAAACTCTTTCTCGCGACTCAACAACCGAATTGATGGTGTGGTCCAATGGAGGCCTCCAGAAGGCAACGATGTGGGCTGGCGACCCACACGGCCAAGAGCCAACTGTATATACCTCCTCGTGGTGGAGGCTGGATGCGGGTCCCCATGACCCATAACAAAACGGCAAATGGCTACTGGGGAATCATGAGAGACGCTCGCTCTGCGAAGTTGATCGTACTCTTGTTCCCCCTAGAGTTACAGGCGGAAAAGGGGCCTCTGCGGGGAGAGCACCTCCGACAGGACGGCAGGCATGCCGGGAAACCGCCCTGTGTCCCGGGTATCTGGGTGCAGATGCGGAGCCGGCGTCGCTGACCGTAATAAGAAGGCAGGATGAGCCAGTACCGGCCGAAAGATACAGTTTCTGATCCGACAAATCCGGGAAAACTCCATCGAACCCACGCTGGAGCATTGCGTCTCAGTTGGGGCCTTGCACGAATGCTCGCACCACGCGGGTGCAGGGGAGGGACCTCCTCGAGGTTCCCCGCAGGCAACGGGTCGGGATCAAGCGGCCTCCCTGAGGGGAGAACGTCGCGTACGCCCCGGCCTGGCTGGCCCCTCCCCCAGGGTTTGAGACAACCGTCCCAAAGCATTCGGGTTTTTCCAAGCCCTAAACGCGGGCGAGGCTTCGACCGACTTGTGAGTTGAGGTGCACAACTCGGGAACCAGCACTGCAGAGCTGGTAGGAGGATAGATAGACTCCCGTCCACCGGTGTAGCCGAAAAGCGTATCGGTAGTCTTCGCTACGGCGTTGACGCGCTGATTGGGCGTATCCTAATCCCGCGTCCGTGGGCGCCGTCTGGTGCGGACGTAAAAATACAGACAGGAGGAGTACAAGCCCCCAGAAATGGGGGGGCTAGGGAGACTTCGTCTCTAGGTGCGGTCGGCCGCGGCCGATAACTAATTCTGTGGTCCAATGGACAAGATGAATATCTGTCCCCTGTAGATACAGGTACCATTCCTGACATGTCGCTAGGAGATAGGTAGTGTCGGTTTTGGATACAGGTTCCTGCATCGACATTACCGACACTTCGAGAGCCTTCGTCGGCTCCCCTATATAAGTATTTGAAAGTAATACATACATGGTGTAACAGAACTCGTGCTCACGGTTTATGCACCACTATCCTTGTTAGAAAAGAAGTCGGAAAGTCTTGTACTATTTTTTCATACAGTGCATACATTTCCTCTAATAACTAGTTTGTGACGAGCCGTGTCACCCGGCATGGCACGCGGCGCCAGAACACGGGCGACCCGACACGCACAGACTAGTTACACGAGCGGCCGCGATGAGGCTACACCTAGGTTCCCCGTTCCCGAAAGCGAAACGGCCCGCGACGAGCATATAAAAATATCCAACCGAGCGGAAAGGAAGCTCCGGAAACGCGACTTCTGAGCCTGTTCAGTGGGAAGAAACCCAGAGTGCAGATTTCGAAGCTTCTCAAACCCAGGAACGCAAGACGAGACATAGACTCCAGACGGTCCCGAGTAAATTCACGATAAGACGAGACGATATAAAGCGAGACAGATTTTGATACGAAGTTAGGATCGCAAGTATAAGCGCACGCGATAGATCGAGTAGCAATTACATATTTCGAGCGTCATCCCATTTGGGGCGACGAATCGTAGTAACGCGTATTTTGTTTCCTTCCAGCTCTACGACGAAAATCCCAACGGCAGAGCCGCCAGAGCCGCAGCCCAATTGAATGAACCGTTGCTATTTTTCCATTTAATACCTCGACTATTTTTACTCCACCCAGACCCTAGTCGCGAATACCGACGCTCCAGGCAGCTACTGTTGCGGGACGAGAACCGACCTTAGATACTTATATAATTGCAAGAATTATGTTGTAAGGGCAACATGTAATGTCATACGGTCATAAATATCATAGAATTAATTGTGTTTTATAATAATTTCTTACCTTCGTCTTACTGCAAATATATCGTAAGGGGGGGGTAATTTATTCAACATTTCCTTAGCTTGTCGAGTAACAACGACTTCTCTTAATTCTCCACCCCCAATTCCTGCTTCCTTTGGCTGAACAGATATTATAGTATCCAATACGTTTTGGGTGGTATTCGTTTGATACCTAAAATTAAAACGTATATATTCTAAAAACGAATAGTTTATGCTCTTCACAAGCATGCGGTAAAAATTAATTCGGAAGGTCTATAAATTGATTAAATTAAATAAATTATAGAATTTATATTATATAAGCTATTGGCTACGCGAACATTGAAGACGCATCCTAGATGATCCGCAAAACGACATTTAAAAATACTTTAGCGTGTGAATAATATATGTATATTGACACATATTCCGGATCCACACGAATGCGTGAAAATACTCGAGAAAAAATAATTACATACATTCATATACGATCATACATGATTCGTGAAATGTGATACCTTTTTACAAAAAATGTCATCGTTAGGTAGCAATATTCATGCCATCACCTTCTTTCACTTATAATATTCAATACGTCATGAATTTAATTACAGCATCATTACTTATACAACACGTATGTTCTATCCACATTATTTTTTAATTATAACGTTACATCTATTTTTCAAAATATAAAAACGATTCTTACATTATATCTGCATTGGGGTGAAGACCATATACTTGAGGTGGATCAACACTGGGCATAGATTCAATAGCTTTCAAATAGTCCGACACTTGTTTGAAAGTCAAAATATTATATCCTTTGTAGAAAGTAAATCCTTCCGAAAACAGTGCATCGGAAAACCACACCTTTGCAAGTGTATTAAGAAGTCTTTTATCGTAGTCATCTGTCACGCGACCGCCATATTGAACCTCTCCTAACATATATCTGAAAATCAATATCCATCAGAATCTTGATTTGTTAATACGAATATTTAGTGAAAAACAAAACTGGATCTCTGTCCATAAGTAAACAAATTTTTGAACCAGGGAGTAAACGCATGTTGGACACTTTGACTGACGGTTTCGTACATATTGAAATGTAACCTGAATTCTTCTACTTCCACTTCAACTGCGACCCACCCGGTCGCCGTCGACACCAACCGCCCGGACCGCGGTACACGTCAAAGCAAGTCCTGTTCGCAGCCTGGTAAAAGGCAATGGGAACGAAGGAGCCCTAAAGGACCGACCTGTCACAGCGGTAATTAGCGCCCTTGAGCACCTGGACACATGCGGCAGCGCGGCAGTCAAGTTGCCCGAGGTCACATCTTCCCGAACGAGCCTCGGGACGACCGTAATACTACAGCGGCACCCCGAGACCAGGAGCTAGAAATTTTATCTCGGGGAGAATTTCGTGGAGAAACCCGGTAAGCGCCCTGGGACACCACGGCCCTAAAATCGACGTTTTAACATAAACCGGTCACGCGCCGGCAAAACCCTGGTCGCTGCACTGCACGGGACGAATCACGTCGAAAACTTGAATTTCGGTCGCTTTTGCGCTTGTAATTGAACCAAGAAATCCCATTAAGGGGTCAGGGCCAATCACCGATCTCGGATGCGACCGTGACCCTACACCGTTTAAGAGGGTTCCCGGAGTGGACTTTCTTCTTCTTCCCGACAAGGGTTGCCTCACTCCGAAAGAAGTTTGTGAAGCAAAGGTTGTGACAAATTCGAAGACTCTGAGGAGGGGCGAGTTCCAGCATCGAATAAGGTACCTAACAGTTGGGTCTCCTCCTCCGTACCTCAGCCGTACCGACTGTCTACCTTTTGAGTGTCGCTTTTTTTCCATTCGCGTAGTCGCGCTTGTCTTCTCTGTCACCTTCCTTTCTATTTGCGCGTAAACGCCTCCTTTCTTTCTGTTTACGCGTAGACGCCCCCTTTTCTTTCTATTTCGCGTTGACGACTTCTGCTCTATTTTTACGTAGGCGATATTTCTTAGATTTCGCGAAGGCGATTTGCTGAATCTTGGCGCGTCACCGGCCGATTCACGCGGTGGATGGCCAGAGGAGGAGATTCCGAATTTGGTGTCGTGACCTCATAGTCGTTCTCCTTTTTTTGAATAGGCCGGGGAGCAACACCCGTGAGTTCTGACCACGTAGCTCGCGTACGCGTGCAGGTACTGCAAGGCTGTTCTAATTTTTGAGTCCGCCTCCTCGAATCGAAAGTGAGTTCATTTATTCCATTGAATCTACATCATTTTCCGTTCCGAGTCGTTGAGTCCGTTTCCACGAGTCCGCGCGGCTAAATCCATTAAGTGTAAGTTACAACCGTTTTCTTCGTCGTTGTGATCCGTTGAGTTCATTGGCATTTTCTTTTTGTTCCTTTTATTTTCGGGATTGCCCAACCTTTGTATCCGTCGGTTTAATTAATTTCTTTTGTTCGTGGTTCTTATTAGCCCGGAGCGGGCATGGTTATGTAATAAAAGTTTGTTAAAATGTGAAACGAATTTTTTGAGAGTTCGATAAACGGCCTGAACCTCCTCTCTCCGTGTTATACGAAGAAAATTTCTGAGCTAGCCAGACCTCGCTCGGAAACTTTGTGAATTTGTTGCTTCGTCTTAGTACAAAGACATACCTGACGTCCGCCGAATTTTCACGTCGTGATACGCGTGAATGAGTGAGGCCCTTTCCGCGTCACCGGTACCCCGAAAGTGCCCTTTTGTGGCCCATCTCAAGTGGATTACGTCACACTATATATAATTACAGGCTAATATTTCGTAAATTGTGAGATCGAAAAATGTTTCTGTAAAAAGTTGTAGGGTGTAATGAGAGAAAGAAAACGCAGGTCATAACTTATATGTGAAGAGCATGTCTCGAAATCATTCCAAGGTTAACATCTCGGTTTGAATGGAAAGGACTATTTTTTATACCGGAAATTGATAGAGCGTCCATTCTACCTGAAAATGTGTGGTAATAAATTGAGTTACGTAGACCACAACGGGTTATAAAAGTTGAAAGATGTCGTTATAAGAGAAGTCCAGTTGGCGCTAATGGATGGTATGCAAAATCAGTCATTCAAAAAAACGGGGGTCCATCCAATCCCGAATCTTGATCGTTTAACATAAAATTTGGTTCTCAATCGATTTTCGGTGTTAAAGGAGCTCTTCTTTTGGATTAACCTTCATGCAATTCATTAAAGCCAACCAGACTTCATATATGGCTACATATTTCGACCTTCGTCACCTGTTATGGTCAACGTAACTCCACTTATTACCACACATCTCCACATAGTAGAAGCGCTCTATCGATTTTCGGTATAACAAGTAGTCCGTTCCATTAACAAAAAAGAAGTTAACTTTGGAATGATCTCGAGACATGACCTTCCAGTGAAAGTCCCGACCTACGTTTTCTTTTCACCTTCAAACCCCACAACTTTTTACTGAAACTTTACTCACTCTCTCCTATAGTTTATGAAATATTAGCCTAAATTAATTAAAATGGGACACACTGTATAATTATTTTCACTTTGGATAATAAGTATCCTTGGATGTTTCTAAGACAAACATTGACGATTACTACTATATCGATGACACCACAGATTTGTTGCGCCCAACAAAGATCATCAATAAATGCTATTAACCGAATAAAAAATAAGTATACATTATTTCAATTCAAATATAGGAAATTATTTACCTCACGGTTTGCCAGCTTATTCCGCGCTTAGGGTCATAATCATTGAGGTGATTATTCATGAACATGCAAGATGCTAACCAGTCAGCAGAATTGAACTCGTATGGTATATTCCAGCCAAGAGGTCCAAATTTCCTGCGTTCTTGTACAATTGAGTGTAGAAAGGACACAGCGTAAACGAGTGGTATGTATTGCGGAGTGTCACATTGATCTAATATGTCCTGATTCATTCCGCTGTATGTAGCAAGTAATCCAGACCTCATTCCTTAGTTTTAATAATAAATAATTATTCATTACAGTTAATCCGATTCAGTAAGTATTATCAAAAATAATATCTAACTAAATAATCATAATTCGTCCTAAATATGTACATAATTTACATATCTTCATGATTACAGATCGGATTGTTATGAATATTTTTCTTATGATCATGCGAAGAACATGTTTGGATTTCATGCTCCGTCGCACCGGGAAACTCACTGACGCATGAAAATGTTAATTAATTTTGTAGTTTTCGGCGTTCTAGCGCGGAGCAGCTCATCGAACCGTTGCTATCCCACCGTCAGCTCAACGACACGGTAATGAGGATAAGTTGAAGAAAATAACGTATTGCTTAATACCTGTCTAATAGAAATTATAAACAAATGCAAGACGGGTCTAAAAAATACTAATATATATGAAAGGCAACATCCGTCTATCCGTACGCGATAATCTTGGAAAACACTGCACCGATTTCTCTGTAGTTCTCGAGAACATTTAGAGACAACATTTGGGAAGACCGTCATTTGGGTATGTCATGTCAGCGTTACGAATGGGGAGATCTCCCCACTTTAAAGTAAGTTGCTGCACGCCCGATCGGGGAGATCTCCCCACTTCAAATTGTGTCGCTGCAAGACCGACCAGGAAGATCTCCTATTTTGATCTTAGCAACACGTTTGACGCGCGGTGACAGCGTAGTTTGGTTTGCCCGAGCGCGGTAGAAGACGTATACTGGCGGTCATGAATGGCCTCCTCGTGTACATGGTGCACCCTGGTGGTGGTAACGTAAACGTAACGTAAAAAACGAGCTCGAGAACTTATGTACTTGCGGTACCTGGTGTACAATAAACTGTAAAATAATTAATGTAATAAAGCGACTTATTGAACAATAACAATGAGTACGTTTAATTAGACGCGCATGTCTAGCAAACCCTCTAATCGCCTATTCCTGATCCTTGAAAATCACTCGTAGATCTAAGGCACGAAACTCGGTGCCACCTCCTCGGTTGTCCTATGATCCTGTTAGAAATTGGAAATCCACTCTCGATGACCTCGTTAAAGTTGACTTTACTCATTCAAGAGGTTCAAAAAACAACATTCATTGTCCAGTTTGACACGCCAGGCTGAACATCGCAGATAATGACTAGGTCTGAGTTTCGCGCCTCTATATATATGTATTTGGCGCGAAACTCTACCGAGTTTCTTAATTTCAACCCCGAAAATTTTTGCCCGGGAGAATTCCGTGCCACCTCCTTGGTTATTCTATGTTCCTATTACAAATCGCCAGAGGTGGAACGAAACTATGTGCCACCTCCTCGGTTGTCCTATGATCCTGCTCCACCTCTGGCGATTTGTAACAGGAACATAGAATAACCAAGGAGGTGGCACGGAATTCTCCCGGGCAAAACTTTTAGGGGTTGAAATTTCCGATTTCTAACAGGATCATAGGACAAACGAGGAGGTAGCACGAAACTCTGTGCCACCTCCTCGGTTGTTCTATGATCCTGCTCCACCTCTTGCGATTTGTAACAGGCACATAGAATCACCGAGGAGGTGGCACGGAATTCTCCCGGACAAAAATTTTAGGGGTTGAAATTTCCGATTTCTATGAGGGTCATAGAACAACCGAGGAGGTGGCACCGAGTTTCGTGCCTTAGATCTACGAGTGATTTTCAAGAATCAGGAATAGGCGATTAGAGGGTTTGCTAGACATGCGCGTCTAATTAAACGTACTCATTGTTATTGTTCAATAAGTCCCTTCATTACATTAATTATTTTACAGTTTATTGTACACCAGGTACCGCAAGTACATAAGTTCTCGAGCTCGTTTTTTACGTTACGTTTACGTTACCACCACCAGGGTGCACCATGTACATGAGGAAGCCATTCATGACCGCCAATGTACAGTTCGCTGTGGCGCGCGTAATTGGCTAAGTGTTAAAAGACATACGTAACTGTAGACCTGTTTCTTACCTTGAGGTGGCTCGTATGTAAATTTTATAGACATTTGTAGAAGAGTTATTGGGAAATCTTTATGTGGTTCCGTAGTTATCCAGATACGGAAATTCGGATGAGGACTATCCATTTCCAAAATGAAGTTGACTAATTCATTCATGTATTCCAATCCTAAATGGCAATTTTGACATAATGCCCAGTACCCCTATAAATTCATAAACTGTTATCCGACTTAGAGAGATAGCGGAAGGGCAGTATATTTACTATAAATCATGTTATCTTTTTGCATCATATGTTAGTTAATACTATGTTTCGAACGCACCTCGGTCTTTGCACTCTGCAACAATTTCCGTGCATGCACTTCTTGGCCCTGGCCCATTGAGATACTCCTACATTCAATTTCCATTCTTTTTGCAAATTGTTCGATGCTAGGTGTTGGGTCTGATCCCATGCTCAATAAACAAATCATCGGAGTATTGGGCCTAGACTCATTATGCATCACATCCAAAAGAGTAATTACTGATTCGGCATATTTTGCCCCTAAAGAACCAGCTATGTACTTTCGGGAATGCGACAATGTCCTGTCCATCCGCCAAGCTCTGTAAAAAGTATTACAATACTAACAGGAAAAGTATTGATAATTACAAATAATGTGTGAGAAATAAGTTCACTTTTTAGATATAAGTATACCTATTACTAAAGTAAAATGGGTGGAGTACGCGAAAGTATGCGAAACGGTACAGTATGTGAATAAGTTCGAAATACTGAACCATTTGGGTCGATAATCTAATAAAAGTAACTGATAACAAAGACACAAATATAGAGAATTGATATTCAAAAGATATCATCTTAGGGATTGCAAAATGGCATGAACAATAAAACAGAAGGTTATAAAAGTTTTAAGAAACTTGGAAAAAATCGAATCGGTACATGTGGATTGAAGTCCAAGGCTCCCGACTTAGGGAAAATGTCCCACGCGCAGCAAAACCTCTAATATAGGTTTATAGAATGTACTTATACATAGGGTGTAACAGAACTCGTAGTCACGGTTTATACAGCGCTATCCTTGTTGAAAAAGGAGTCGAAAAGTCCTGTACCATTTTTTCCTACAGTGCATAAATTTCCTGTAATAACTAAGCGAAGTACAGCCAATCAATCGCGTTCCCCAACGGAAGGCATGGCGGAGAGGGGGCCGATGGGCCTGCGTTCGGCTTTCCGTGACGTACGAGCCTCTCCGCCTCAAGGAACGACCGCGCCCGACGTCGCTTAACTTCGATGATCATACGAGAACCAGTGTATCGATGCGGCTTGAACGTTGACACACGTTTTCTTCCGAGTTAGATTCCTCGTTAACTCTTAGCGGGATGAAGGGAGGCATAAGGAGCGGGGGAGATGGTGAGATGGAGAAAGAGAGAGGGAGGGAGAGGGGGAGAGACAGTGACAGGTGTCGAGAGAGGGAGGGGGAGACAGACGGACGGACATGCAGAGGACACGATGTCAGTGTATAATAATTCTTTCGTTGTCCCACCTCGCTCTTGTTACATCTGGCAGTGCATGTGGGAGCAATATTTATATAAAACCGGTGACAACGATGAAGATCAGGTAATTGGATGGACTCTTCCTGATTGATAGTATACGAAATGTCATGCTTGGGATCAGATTCATCTTCCGATATACCTGATTCCTCAAAATGAGGGTGTGTGTATAGTAATGTATAGCAGTGTATAATAATTCTTTCGTTGTCCCATCTCGCTCTCGTTACATCTGGCAGTGCATGTAGGAGCAATATTTATATAAATCCGGTGACAACGATGAAGATCAGATAATCGGATGGACTCCTCCTGATTGATAGTATGCGAAATGTCATGCTTGGGATCAGACTCATCTTCCGATAGACCCGATTCCTCAAAATGAGTGGGTGTGTGTATAGTAATGTATAGCAGTGTATAATAATTCTTTCGTTGTCCCACCTCGCTCTCGTTACATCTGGCAGTGCATGTAGGAGCCATATTTATATAAATCCGGTGACAACGATGAAGATCAGATAATCGGATAGACTCTTCCTGATTGATAGTATACGAAATGTCATGCTTGGAATCAGATTCATCTTCCGATGTACCTGATTCCTCAAAATGAGGGTATGTGTATAGTAATGTATAGCAGTATATAATAATTCTTTCGTTGTCCCATCTCGCTCTCGTTACATCTGGTAGTGCATGTGGGAGCAATATTTATATAAAACCGGTGACAGCGATGAAGATCAGATAATCGGATGAAATCTTCCTGTTTGATAGTATACGAAATGTCATGCTTGGGATCAGATTCATCTTTCGATATACCTGATTCCTCAAAATGAGGGTGTGTGTATAGTAATGTATAGCAGTGTATAATCATTCTTTCGTTGTCCCACCTCGCTCTTGTTACATCTGGCAGTGCATGTGGGAGCAATATTTATATAAAACCGGTGACAACGATGAAGATCAGATAATTGGATGGACTCCTCCTGATTGATAGTATACGAAATCTCTTCAAAAAACACCTACGGTGTAAAAGAAACTTTGCCAAATACATTTTTATTTCCGCCTTCAATTACAAAAATAGCTCCACAATGGAAATCAATTATCTTTGCCAAATACAATAGTACTTTCATACTATTAAAACTCTAATCAGTTATTTT